ATGCGGTGGTTTATAAATAAGTTGATAGCTACACATTCCACAACTCTTAACGACTGTATCTGTTGGTCGATCAATGCGATATAGCTTGTGTGCTGATATAAACTTACCTTCACCGCCATCTAACTCAGCTGTTGATAAACTATAAACTAATAGATAGAGACTAGTATTTCTCTGACATTGAATGACCATTAAGGAGTATAAAATCCATCTAGAATTGTCGGAATTGGATACAGCGCAAAATGTATTAGACTGATATGATGTGGGAAATTCTCACACAGAAATTTGACGCATGAAGACTTGATGGGTGCTGCTGTGATTATTTGAAGTATTCGAATTATAGTACAAACTAGGAATCCCAGGAATAACTCAATGTAACCAAAGAGAATTATATAAGGACGAACGGATGTATTGCATTTGGAATCCGAAATCAGACAGTCACCAAGTATAAAGGAATCACGAGTTGATACAGATAACACAGCTACTCATGGAAGGCAAGAGTAAATGTAGAGTACGAGCAATCTTGTATGCACGAAAGCTTGTCTGTAGAGTGAAGGCATTTTCCCAAATCTCTATACAAAGAGTCGAGTGCTTTTTGAAAACGAAAGACCAGGTAATACTGGAAGTCAAACTCTTAGAATCCTTAATCCATTTAATTGAAAATGAAGGCGGTTAATATTTCCTTACGACCAGAATATACATGATCATGAAGCACCAGGTGAACAACATTAAACAATAACCACATGGCCCCCCAGTTGCATGTCTTCTACCTTGGAAATTTTACTGGCGAGTGTTGGGTGGTAAATGGAAGGGTGAGGATCAGAACAGGGACGTTTCCCATATTACATGGTTTGGGCACCTGCGCTTGATCATTTCGCGTACTCTATCGTCTTTATATCAAATACATTATTCTATCGGTAAGACGATTTTAATAAATCAGGATACTTTGACCACCACAGTTGGGCAGATTTGGTTAGAAATGAAGTGATATCGATGTAAAAGCATATGGATTGGAGATTTGTATCGTGGCCAACAAACAATATTCGATCGAGTCTATTGACCTAGTCACATAAGTAGGTTTATTATTAGCGATCATTTTCATGAAAATCAGTAATCCATACCAATAAGATGGAAATGTACCAGACGAAAATGAGGTCAAAAGCCTGTCAGCCAATTATCCTCGTCGTGGTGGAGTCTCTCTCTAGAGTGTTAGGTAACATCAACTTTGAACAGTCTGAGAATCCTAAGCCTCATCCAAACAAATTTACTCCATAATATTGTCTTGACCACGTTGCATAATGGAATGAGTTCAGAAATGAGCTACGAGATTGCACTTATACTAGCTATTAAAACTTTCTCATTTTGGTAGGAAGCACCCGAATGCCCTGGTACGGCCGAGAGTAGGGAGAGTCTACTCTCCCTCTCGAAATGCTCTCACATGGCCAGCGAATATACAGCCTGTGCCAGGGAAGTCCTACTCACTGCCTTCTCGTGGCGGGGGTGATGTTTACGAAAGTGAGAGGACGAAAAGCGAATGTCCGGCGCTATAACCGGATTAGTGGACACGGAGGGTCCACCTAGGGGAGTTGGAAAACCCTGATTCCAAACCAATGGTGCACGTGGGCTCCAGGATCCTGATGGAACGGACGGCGAATGAACCTGCTGTTGGTCAACGGCTACCATGGGACTGCATCTCTTCACGATGCTCCACTGCCTTGTGGATCAGATCTTTAGGTCAATGGCTCGGGATGTGGCCCCCTAAGAAAACCACCTGCTTCGGTTTGGGCACCCGGGCAGTATCACAGCCCACACACAAATGAATGAAATGAACTCTATTGACGATAATATCCCTGCTCATACTAAAATCAAGACAATTTTCATTATTATCATTACCATTATTATTTACCATATCGCTAACTCACCCCCTTTTATCCCCAAATTGTGTATCCTTCTTTTCCAACTTATGCAGCAGCTCGCCCATGGTGGAAAATCTGTCCTATCTAAACGATCTCCAGTCACTGTCTGGTTGAAAGTGAATGCTTCCAACGATTACGAATACTGAAGCAGTCTTTCTGAAACCACGTACGCCGTTCAAGCTGGCTTCCTTCAACGTTCGCACACTAATGCAGATCGGACAACAGATGGGGCTTGCTATGTCTTTAGAAAGTCTTAATGTTGATGTTTGCTGTCTATCGGAGACCCGTATTCAAAACTCTAGTGAAGTACTACAAATTCGCTCTCCATCTGTCGCTTCGAAAAGCTTGTTCCACGTGCGTTTATCCGGGGACCCTGTGGCATCTTCGTCTGGTCTTGCTGGCGTTGGTGTCGCATTAAGCGCTAGGGCTGAGACAGCACTAATCGATTGGATCCTCATTAACAGTCGGTTATGTGTTGTTAGATTAGAAAGTTCCATTAAAGTGAGAAGAAATCGGCGTGAGAAACGGTGTCTTTTCGTTATCTCCGCCTATGCCCCGACAGATTGCAGCCCGGATGCAATCAAGGATGAGTTTTACCACCAGTTAACAGTTCTTTTCCAAAAAGCGCGTTCGACAGATACTGTAGTATTAGCCGGAGACTTGAATGCTGAGGTCAGGCGTCTAGGCACAGAAGAGAGTCGTTTAGGTGACCAATGGGGACTTGTTGGTCGCAGGACAGATAACGGGGACCGTTTGCTGCAACTGTGCACAGACCACAACCTGTTTCTGGCCAGCACTAACTTCCGGCACAGTCATCGCCGGTGTGCCACCTGGCGTCCTTTCTCTGCATCTCAAGCCTGGACTCAGATTGATCACATCGCGATCAGCTACCGCTGGCATGGTTATGTACAAGACTGCCGCTCCTTTTCGAGTACCTATCTGGAGTCTGATCGTGCCCTGGTCTGCGCCGATCTCACGTGTATGACATGGTGTCGTGGAATGAAAGGAAGCTGCAAAGGGCTAGCTTCCGTTGATCCTTCACGACTTCCTGGTTGGGGTCCGAGAGATGGTGCAACACAGTGGTTAGAGACGTTATCAAATATGGCTCAGAATAGAAGCCAGTGGCGATCCTGCTGTAACCTTCTTCTACTTTCTACATAAAGAGTGGTTCTAACTTTCCTAACTGAAAGAGTCTTCTGGTTGTACATTTCAGTCCGCCTTATCTTTTCATCCCTTCTCTTCCTACTTTCATTATTTTGTGTGGCGTGTATGTATCTGGTGCCCTATTGTACCAATATATGTGTTTAAATAAATAAATAAAGCACTGAGTATTTCTGGATTTGTTACATCATTCATGGCCATGAAGATATTGGACTACAGTTGATATAATGACCGAAATTATTTTACTCGATGAATAGTCTGCATCCATTAGATTTGGACAGGAGTTATGAGACTGATTACTTTACATGATGTTACGTCAAAGCCATAGTACTCATTGATATCTTGTCCTATATCAAATGAGACATACCAGAATATCGCTTTGTTATATTAATTTGTCAAGAGAGGATAAAAAACTAACCATAATGAGCAAAAATACTAGACAATTAGATTTCTTAAACATTTACATTTTGATACGCATAGCAATATGGTTCCCAAGATATGTCGAGAAATACAGAACGCACATTCACTTTGAATAATACTCGCAACCAGTTAATAATAATGGGTATCCTTTAGGTTTAAATGTCGAATATGACAACTACCTATTGAATAAAACAACATTAAGTTGGTCAGTAGTATTTTTACGAACTGCTGCACCTCAATGAGCACATTCAAGTACGAAACGTTGTATCGCGACACCAACACCATGTCAAGTTAAAGAACTCATGTAAACGATGAATTTCTTGGATTTTAGCCCATATATGGTAGCTTTTAATGATAAGCTTGACTTAGTATCACTGTAAGATGAAGTTAACCCAATATTGACATCAGAATTGTTCAACGTTAGCTTATAATTGATCATGCCAATGACATAATTAGGGATAGGCTTATAAGACCTACGACTACAGACAGGAAAGTTCACTAAATGTAGTGTAGACCATCAACGTTGACGGTCTATGTCGAATGATTGGAGGCCTACTGGAGTTAGACGGGAAAGGTGTAACGAACAAGCTAACTTCGAAGTCACACCTCACGACCAGCACCTTACGTGGATTGCCCCATCGGCGTATCAAGGGACCATGGATGCTCTGAAGACTGTATAACACAAGGGACGTTAGTACAGGAATATATTAGTTAAAGTAGATACAAGCGAAAGTAGAACCACTGCCGCATGGGCCAGTCAATGGCGTATGATTTAACAGATGCGCGTTGACTGTTCTTGACCTTGATGGGGATCGATGATCTGTTCGATATTTAGTGACCCAACTGCCGGATGATTTGGCTAGGGTTCAATGACATTTCACTGGCCCTACAGTAGCAAATAAGAATACCTAAAAACATCAGGCCAACTTCTATTAGCACTATGTATCTCGCCTTTTTACGTTCCAAACAAATTTATCAGATACTTTAGAAAACATATACCTTGTTTAAAAATTCAGACCATATTTGTCAAGGTAGAATTATCTTTCTCATTGTGATACTTAAAACTAGTAAGCCGGTTTGTCAAAATTGTTTCAATTTGAAGATCGTCCCATCAGTCTTGAAAATTCAAGTGTGTGAACTTATTATGGATTGACTATCATATTAAAATACGAATGTGAATAAAACGTTACTTTAATCAATCTTCGAAAGCACACCAGAAATGGGTACTTTTGTAGGTCACTCACTCATGAGAATTAAACACTTTGAATTCCGAACAGACCATTGATTGTTAAGGGCTGATTTATTAATTCATTATTTGACGAACTTGATACACTAGCAGCACATTACACAATGGAGATGTCACGGGACTTAACATCAAACTCATAATGCAACAAACATTGTGTATGTTAAGTAATGACGCCCTCATCTCCAGGCTCTTTCATGTTTATTGACAATAGAGATCAATTGAAATAACCGTAAACAAACAGTTGGCAGAACAAACCAAGTAAATGAATTGATTTGCTCTCAACGTTTATTCTTAAAATAGCTGATGAGTGGAGGGAAACAGCAACCAAGAAAAAACTAATGGGTACATCATAACTTTTTTTTGGAAACTAGAAAGTACAGTAGTGATTTAAAGTTTTAGTTAAATTTCTTCTGAGAAATACAACATATGATGAAATGTACCACTTAGACACAAAGGGAGATACCAATAATGTTTCACAAATGCGTAAATGTCAGATAGTCTAGGAAGAAGATACAATCATAAACAGCTTTAGGAACATATAGAAGTCGGATCATTCAAAGAAGTTCAGGAGGTACGAAGAAAATTTTGGAGAAAAACTATGAAAACATTTCACGTAGATCAGAGTAGCTTATATTATAGTAATATATTGTTCGAGTCATCCATGGATGAAGTAGAGCTTTCAATACGAGGACGCTTGAACGAGTTTTGTGAGTTCCCTGTGCTACTGGTTACTGAAAATTTGGAGAGTGGATCAAGAAGATCTAAGGAAAAAATAAAGGTATAGATATCGTTGTGATCCAGTAGTACGCAAAATGATGAAGTTAACAAAAAGTGAAAATACCAGGGATATATAAAGCCAAGCCGATTCAAACAGATAAAAGGAAAGTGACATTCCGGTAAAAGCTGGTCACCAGCATAACGTTGGATACTGGGAAACAAGTCAAGTTTATCCTGAAAAAGTTTACGTTGACCTTATAAGCATAAATCGGTGATTGCATTTTAATTTTCGTCAATCGTATTTAATAAAGACAAATAAACGACTGACCGATCAAAATTATTTCCTTAATTAAATGATATAAGCCCTTAGACGGTCATTCCTGGGGCTTTTTAAAACAACCGACTATCACCATGAAGCGTGTCAGCACTTTAGTCCTCATAGCAGGATTCATTTGGCTTTTCCCAATTACCGATTCTGTAGTGGGTTTTTTCGAAGTGGGGTTGCTAATCCCATACCCAACTCTCCTCCTTCAATTGGGCTTGTGAATGGTATTAGCCACAGAGGGGGTTCCTTTGAACGCTACAAGCCAAAAAATTCGATGAGAAAATATATGTGCATGTATACTCCATAAAACGATGCAGGATAAACATACTTATGATCTGTACAGCATCCTGAAAGACATTGAATGGATCCCGACTGATTGACTCATCACGATAATCAGTAGAATTACAGACACGGTTATTCGTTACTTGATAACTAGGCAGTATATGATGATGACGCTTTCTTCTCTGGGTCAATCCATCACAAACTAATTGTGAAATACTTGAATGATTGACAAATGAACTGATGGGGGGAATGAAAGCTGTGAATAAAAAGATAACATACATTAAACTTGTTTAAAATTAATCGGGAGTTATTTTATATTACCGCATTGCATATTTGGTAGTAATAGTAATAACCATGATCAATAGGACTTGAAAATCATGTTTATGCTGATGTACTGAACTTTGTAGATAACTTAGTTGTAATACGAAGCTGATTTGCAGAACGAAGTCAACACAGTAGGTTAACTCTGTCAAAATCATTATATTACAAAACTGAAATTCATAAATAACAGAAATATAATTTTTAAAAAGTGAAGAATTTGATGCAGCGTTGTTAAGAGTATCGTATGGTATACTGAAATTTTCAAGTTACTATCGAGTCATGGTAATGAGGTAACTGTATCAAACAATAACAGAAATTCTCTTTTCAAACATTGTTGTGAATATTTCCCAGTTAATCGTACATGTAACTATTAGATATTACACTTTTGCTGACATCAGATACGTAAATCTTCAGTTTTAACACAAAATAAGCATAAAAACGGTTGAATTAAAAAAACCCATAATTTATAAATATTCATTTAAAAATACAGAAGACTCATTAATTTAATCTATTGAAAGAAAAACACCGTAAAACTCAGAAAAAAATAGCATCTCATTACTTTGTAGTATCCTTGAGCATCAAGTATTATAGATTTTAAAAGTGACAATTTAGTTAGTAACAAAAATGATTTTTTTAAAACAACAAACTAGATGAAAATTTCTTTTTCGTTTATTTAAATCTTTTGATAACATTCTACTCACTAATTGAAACTCGAATTGATTATCTTTAATAATTTTATTTAATGACGCTGCACTCTTCTATTTCATAATAGACTTCCGCATGTACAATTAACTATGAATACGACTAAATAGTTTAAAAGCATCACATCATTGGAACTTTTTAAAATTTGCTTATTATTAAGCAAATCCATGATTTAGTTAGGCAAAGAAAACAGGATAAAATTATTTGCTTTCATCCTTGGGATACTATGATGTGAAGAAACTACTTACTAAGAATCTATTTCATAAAAGGAAACTGAGAAAGTTTTACGTTTCTGCTCGACCAATAAATTTTTTTATTTTGTATAATCAAGAAGCTTGTAATGTATAAATAAACCGGTTTTTGACGTGCATTGAGTTGTGAATAATTAGTGATTGAAGTAAGAAAAACCAAAGATGGAATGCTTCCTTGTTAAAAAATCACAAGTAACTATGAATACAACCTATGGGGTGAACGTGACAAATTTGCTTAATATTTTTAGTCGTTGTGCAATCTTACAAGTAGGCGAAAAATAACTCAGAAAAGAGTAAGTAAGGTAGTAACAGTTTTAGGTACATGGTAGATACGGTAAACAAGATAAACTAATTAGTAATTACTGAAATTAAGACTCAGAACGCTTAAAGTCAAAACGGAAAAATCTTCAAGTTAATTTATGGGTTCAAACTATACGTATGCAGCAGTATAGTTCACTTTATCCAAAGTACCTCGCTCTGATGCGTGTGTTACGACCACCTTCAATGCTATATATATATATATATATATATATATATATATATATATATATATATATATATATATATATATATATATATATATATATATATATATATATATATATATATATATATATATATATATATATAGTTTAGATTTAACTTCCAACGTAGTTACATTTAGAGATGTTTCCCAGCATCCTGTTTTTTATATATTTTGGCTAAAAGATGATACATCTAGACATATTAGGCACACATTTTGATAACACATGAACCGATCACTATCTTTTTTAATATCTGTGGCCATGTCGTAAAAAAACACTGTTAAGAGTTATGAAAAAAACAGCCGTTACAATGTCAACCCTTCAAAACCGAGCATCTACGACTCCGCAATCGAAGTCCAGGACTCTTTGTCTTGCATGAGAACGCCTAACCTCTGGACCACTGTTCCGGTATTCAGTGGGTGTACAAGCCTAACTCCGATCGTTCCACGATATTGCGCGACCACCTTCCATCGTCTTCAGTGGTTAACTTGACTAGTACTTTTAGGTTTTTCAAAATTGTCAAGCCAGTCCATTGACAACATAAACAAACTTCTACTACTCTATGAAAAGACTATTTGTATGGTAAACAAATAATTTCATGTCCCGGTGATGTCCTTCCAAGTAGTATGTTCATTAGGGATTACGGTAAAAGTAGGTAGACCATCCGAAATTCTATTGTTTGTTTGGATATAAAGGAATTTATTTAATCAGGAAAAAGTTATAACAACCGAAAAAAAGTTTGAAGAACAACCAAACAATTGATGAATTAATGACAGATGAATCTTACCTACCTAATTATTGAAAAGTAATTAGATTTAAGAATAATCACCAAAGACATCACTGAACATGTATACCATCAGTCAATGTAATTAAGCAAAAAAATGTTAAGAATACGGTGTGAAATAAAAGTTGCGAACTGCACAGATGATTGTTATGACCTGAGCGCACACAAAGAAATACATCAAAATGGAGTACGCCATCTCCTATATGACACTATGACATGCACAACAGAAACCCTTTAACGTGATTATAAACAAGCTTTATAATTCCATCCAAAAAGGGATCATGAATTCAAGTTCAAGAAGTACATGGGTGTTACCCTTGTGGATCTGACTGTGGAAGTATTAGCTCTTAAACAGCCTAAACGATTTAGGGCCGAACAGAATGAGAATGTGTTATGCATAAACGTGCTTATTGTATCCGACAGAGATATATTAACTAAATACACAAATTAAGTTGCACAAGAAATATGTTGAAAAAAGAAACAGTTTAAGGATAGTCACAGATTTTACTGATCCCCAATTAAATACCATAAACTAACTGACAGAAACACTGAACACTGTTGTTCAGTTACAACTCGTGAAATCCATAGAAATTTCTACATTAAAAGTGGCTACATTTAATACTTAATTAATTTGCTTTTTCTTTGTACAGAGTTGCATGTCATCAGAATAGTATTTTTTAAGTCATTAATTCATAAGATGTGAAAAGAATAATTTAAGTTCTTTATAATGATAACTTTGATCCAGCGTTATCACGTACATATCTATTACTTCCTGCTTCATAAGTTTGAGACTGTTATAGATTAGAATTTTAAGATTTCTAACTGAAAACGTTTGACGATTGTTAGATTAATGGATGCAAAGTGTTAATCGATTGATAATATATTGATACGATGTGTCCAAGTGATTGTTACTAAACTTGATTATTGACTCACTCTCTCCAAATGAAATAATATTAAAGATAAGACCACCAACTAGTAGAATAGGTTTGCTCAATCTATCAAAATAACGTGTTCATACATAAAATATTAACACAAAAATAAATATGACTAGATGTTATGAACAATTAACCAATATCATTTTTGTAGGTTACGCAATCTCCTACGAACTACGGCTTGACTAATGCGTCACAATAATCTATCCTACAATGAAGTTTTTGAAACATTGTTTTCATGTCATTTATTTAAGCAGATCTAATCTATTAATGCTACGAAAAACCTAACTTCAGGGTGAAGTGGATTGACAAACATTTACATGAATAAAACGTTTCCGGTAACATACGTTAAGAAAGTATGAGTTTACAGACGAAAATATTGAAAAGTACTTAGTAATGGGTAACTTAGAAATAAATATGTTTTATTTGCATAATAGTATAGAATTTAATTAAAAACTATATAGTGGTTAGTGTAACCGTCATATTAGCCAAAAAGGGTTGGTGGTTTCATTAGTATACCCAACAAATAAAAGATCATAAGATCTCACTTAAATCTAGGACATGTTAAAAGCTAACTATTAAATCTGAAGAGCAAAATAGAGCAATGGGTAAAATAGCCATAGAAATCAGTTTCTTGAGCAACTGTTTTTGAATGCTTTTAAGTAATAAAGGGTACATTAGGACGAAAAGATGTATTTCAACTGATAGACTACTTGTTATACCAACAGAATAAAAATAATGGCACTGATAGAAGTAGAGATTTGAAAACATAAGAAACGTATGGACCAGAAGGATGTTTAAGAAGTAAACGAAGAGTAAATACATCTTCACTTTTGTGAGATTTATATTACCTCTGATAAGTTACAACTGTCTCGTGAATACCAACTAAGAAGCCTATACGGTTCATACCTGATAGACTGATATCATACCTTAGTCTGGTTACACTTAATTTACCTACGACGGATAATAGGATACTAAAAAGCGTATTACATAGACTTATTATATATATTCTTGAGTCAGAAAACACATACCTAGGAAAATGATGAATGTCCACATATTGATAAACTGACTAACAATCACTGATGAGTTTTACGATTGATGGCAAAACACTTTACCCAATGGCTTTAACAAAAAGCAACGCCATGTTACAAGCACTTATGACCAAATATCTGTAATACGTTCATGTTTTCTTGCTTTTCACTGACAGATTGCTAGAGTAAACAGCATCCCAGTAAACTTCATTAATAATACGTAGGGAAACATTTCGTTTCAACGGTTAAAACTAATAGGGCACCAAGAAAGGAATACAATAACGAAAACTCTGTAAAACCACGTGATAAAAGGTGAAAGTGAAGATGAATGTGAAAAACTACATACAGTTTATGACTTCTGGTATTTACAGAATAGAAATTAGATAGACTATCATGACTGATGTATCTAAAAGTGGTTTCTTAGAATATTAACGTGAGTTTTATTTTGGTTAAGGATTATTCTGTACTGGTATTGATAACTAAAACATTCAAGCCTCCCCTTTTCAACAATTATGAGTATATAATATATATGACCATCTAGTTTAAAGCTTGTACATGGAATATGCAAACCATAAGTACATAACTTCCATTTTTCCTACTTTTAGTTATAGAGTTCCTAGCAATTTTTCTTATGGCTGTTATTTTTCTCTAAACCATATGATAAAGTAAATGAGTAAGAGACTACTGTGATCGAATCAATATACTAACAATAATAAATATGAGCACAAACGAATCCTTGGGAGTAGTTAGTATGCGTAGACAGTTAACATTTGATAACATAAAACTATGAAATGTCAAGTTTTTGAAGTAAAAGAGAAAATTTATAACGGTGATAACATAGTGAACAGAAATGATAATATTGCTAATAATCAATAAATGTAATGTTGTATACCTTCTGATGCCGATAAAGAATTAGGCACAATCGACTTTACTACTTCATCGTTGTGTCTGATAGATCCATCTCCGTTGAGGCCATCAATGACACCATACAAATGTGAATCATCTAAGACTGTGTTTAAAACAGAAAAAAATGTTCGCTTCTTTTTGGAGCATCTATTACGACAACGCTTGTGACCGCAATTGTCCAAAGCAATTCGCTTAGATAAATGAGGACAATAAACACAATGGCGTGGACGCTTTCTTTGGAGTTTTCTGGAACGACCAAGTGTTTCAGTGCTCCCAAGTAATAATGATTCCAAAGGCACATAAACTTCAACTCCATTTTCCCCTGTAGTAGTTTGAATATTCTCATAAGCTAAATCTCTCAAATGAAGGCGTAGATACTGAGAACCGACGATTTTTCCATAGCTCAGTGCAGCTTCTACAGAATTCTGAGATCCTAAAGTAGTAAAACGTTATGAAGTTCAAGCATATTACATTCGATAATGAGGGAAGTATTAAAAAAGGGTTGGTATAAAGTCATCGTTCTACATGTGCTGTAATGAAAAACTATAATGGTTTTAAATAAATAAAACAACAAGCTTTTCACATCGAATTTCGATATTAGAAACATAAATGAGTAGCTCACCAACCAAGTATAAATCTATGTGAGATTAGTAGTTAGTAGTGTGATTAAGGATATGGAATTTTCTGTAACATGTGCAATAAGAGCTTAATGAAAATAACTAGTATTTGTTTAAGGAGTCGAATCAGCTTTAAAGATTTTAAAATTGGATGATGTGAGGAGAGAAGACTTTGAAATTCAGAAATTTTGGAATTACAAATACAGTCCTTACACCAATAATTACTTACGAGGCACAGATGTGTCTACCTACCTATGGATTAGCGGTTAAGAAGCTCAACCTTTAGCTACTGAGCCCCAGGTTTAAACGCCGTTCCATATACTTTAGTTTGAGCTTTGATCGAGTTTTGTTCTCTGAGTTGGATAGCTTGATCGTGAAGCTTTCATCGTTGTTCCAAACGGAATCATAAGCACAAACTTCACAAAAACTGGAAACTCAAGTATATCGGAAGCCGACCCACACATATTAAATCCTCAATCACAGTATCAAGGACCCAAGAGATCACAAAATCAACTGCATAAAAACTCTGCATAGAAAAGCGAGGACACACTGCAACACAATTTCAGCGCGGAAAAATTAAGAAAAATACTTGAAGACTATCTTTCAAACGAACGGCTACCCAGTCAACTTCATCAAAAAATACCAGCCAAACGCATCATCAGAAACAAAGTCAATTACAGAAACCAACAAACGGATCATCCTACCATATATAAAAGGCATATCAGAAACTACAACGAGATTGTCGAAACATTTTGGAGTAGGTGTAGCACACAATCCAACAAAATTACCTTAATCAATCCTATGCAAACCAAAAGACAAAGTGACAAAAGGAGAAAAACCAAACATCATCTACAAAAAAACTGCGAAAAACACCACACCAGACAAAGCGAATCCCCTCTCCATCTTTGCATGAACATCAATTAGCGGTCAAGAGCCATGACATATCCTCAAGTATATCAATGCATGTGGGCAACTGTGGACACATTCGGTTGGAAAAACGTTGAGGTCTTCGATAGAGGCAATTCCAAAATTATCAGAGAATTTTTAGAAGCTTGGTCAATCAACAAACACATTAAAATCCATCCAATTTATCAACCAATCAGAAAGTTTATGGACAAATATAGGACCAAAAATCAAATCAATGAGACATATAATCAAAATAAAGAAAACAATAACAGGTTAAAGGCCAACAATAACCAACCAATACCGAAGTCTGCAAGACAAGCCGTGAGTCGCATGTGGAGAAATTCGAACACTTCACTTCTAGCTGAAGTTTGTTCTGATGATGACCAGAATAACGATGGAAGCTCCACAACCAAACCATCCAACTCGGAGAACAAAATCATCCACTTTGATAACAAATCTCTACCATCTCAATATCATATTGTGGTGTGGGCTACTTATATCGACATAAGTAGTATATATCGTGAATGAGGAACAGAATATCTAGCAGCAGAAGATTGAGAAGAGAAGAACAGAAATAGAGAGCGATTGGTGTGTAAATCCAGGAACAATAAAGCCTGAGAGAATTAATGAACATTTTGCAAACAGAGTATGGTTTTTGTGTTTTATCAAGCAACTTTGTCATTTGTGCTAAACATATAACTGGTTGTCCTCATCTGTGTTCTTATTCACCACCATATGAGCGTAATACTTTCGTTTTGGCTACTAAATAGCATCATTAACCCATACATTTAGAACATGGCTTGTACCCAAGAACCTGGTGAATACGTTATTTTTAATTTAACTAAAATAAGAACAATGTTTTAGGGTAGGAAATGATTCCTAGAGTCAGAATATCAGACCACAGAGAATTCAGAAACCAAAATAACCGACAACTAGAATAAGAAAAACAGAACGTGAACCACCAATCTTGTGGTTATTAGTAAAATGAAGACCCCAGATTAAACGACTGGTACGGCCGAGAGTGGGGAGAGTCTGCTCTCCCCATCGAAATGCTCTCATATAGCCATGCGAATATATAGCCTGTGCCAGGGAAGTCCTACTCACTGCCTTCTTGTGACGGGGATGTTGTTCACAAAAGTGAGAGGACGAAAAGCGAATGTCCGGCGCTTTAACCGGGTTGGTGGATGTGGAGGATCCTCATAGGGGAGTTGGAAAACCCTGATTCAAAACCAATGGTGCATATGGACTCCAGGATCCTGAGGGAACAAATGGCGTACGAATCAATCGTTGATCACCGGCTACCATGGGACTGCATCTCCTCACGATGCTCCACTGCCTTGTGGATCAGATCTTTCGGTCAAAGGCTCCGGGTGTGGGCCCCTAAGAGAACCACCTGCTTCAGTTCGGGCACCTGGGCAGTATCACAGCCCTCAAGCAAATTGAATGAGATTTGTGAGGCGCATATTTATCTGGTGCTTCATTGTACTAATATTTATGTGTTTAAATAATAATTAATAATAAATACATAAACTTTAAAGGCACAGATCAAGACTCACTAGTAGAAAATTAACTGGATTTTTTACGATTGATACTAGTTTTTAGATGTGATTTAAGAAAGAAATAGGAAACGCTAGTTACCGCAGCTCAAATTTAGACTTAGTTTACACGGATTCCATAAGTTGAAAAATACCAAATTTAGTAGAAATATGTACCGATCGTATTGTAGAATCATCCACCAAGGACGTGAGCAGGAGCCACACTTAAAGTTTGCAGAGCGATAATACCCGCTGGTTGCCCAAACCGAGGTAGGTGGACGAGGGTTCGAACCTGTAGGCCTAGCGGCCGAAAGTCGAACCTCTTAGACACAAAGTCATTGCTCTACGATCACTAGATAGGATGTGAGAACAATACACCTCAATCAACTTAACTAGTGTATTTCATATGCTTATCGTGTCATGACCCATTTTGTCATCTACAATCTCATTCATTTACTTGTTCTATTTTAATGCATCCATGGGTTTTTCTGTAGCCACAGATGTAATGACATGAAGCAATTTGATGTATGGGACATTCACAGTTGATTTGATGGAAATCTAGAAACAGAAGCCAACGTTACAACTAATTACGGGAAGTGGGGATTTTGTATTAAATCCTTGAGATGAAAAAACCCCCTGAAGTTTCATCAGGGTTTTTTTCTGACAGTATTTTTGAGACGGACTAAAAATACGATATGAAATAATAATGGAGGTCTATGTACTTTGTATACGAGAATTAGAGCATGATAAGAATGGAGTAGAAGTGGTCATCGACAGTCAACGAGGAGTTGAAGAAACGTAGTAAGACAGTGAATATGTTTGTGCGTAACACGCAACGCACTGAACATCAATGAAAAATATTTTGTGGGGCGTTCATGATGATCAAAATAGTTTTCAATCACAAAACGAAAAACCAGTTTGTCAAGCAAACTGAAACCACAAGGTCACACTATGGGCTTAGAAATATTTTGCGAACAGAGAACAGCAAGCATTGAGTACTTATACTTTATGGGCCTATAGCTACCGCCGTAGTGTGGAACGTTCCTCAGACATATGCTTCTGTGATGTGATGACGTAAATAACTTTGACTTCCACAAAGACAGCGGAACTCTCAAGAGATAAGGTATGTTCTTTAAGGAGCTAGTCATCTTTTTAGAACGTGACGGCATCGTCAGTTTTTAAGCATCCTGACGATGAAAACCTAATGAGGCAATTGGCAACTATGATGATAATTATTCCGCAACCTGTTGTTGTCCAATTGAGGTAGAACATGGACGTTACAGTCTTATTTCATTGAGTGTATTTATCAACACGCTCAAAGAATAAACTGTTTTAGGTGCCAGATACAATAAGCTTAGAAGTATTAGGGATTTTATTCAATTTGAAAACGTGACGCTTGCATAGTCAAATCCCTACCAAAATATTGCCTGGTACATACACAATAGTGGAAGACAAACCTCTATAGAACCTCTCAATTGAAGACAGCGTATCCAGTAAATTTTGAAAATCAGCGCAGTGATCAATCTTGCCTACAAAGTATTATTGAATTTCAATCCAAATTATACCTTTATATAGTTGGCACAAACCAGTTGCAGCACTTGCAAAAAATTCCCATACTTTTATAATTAGTCTACTGGGATCATGATCCTGCGGAGTATCACAGCTGGAAGCCATACAGGGGAAAAATACTGAACTTAGCACAGTTCAAAATTACATACTTTTAATTGGATTAAACAAAGTAAGAAAAACAGTAGTTTGCATTTACACTGCCTAATTGTAGAATAAAAAAGTTTCATTCCTGACAATCATCATTATTGAATGCTTGAAAATCACTGCATAATGTTATACAGTAGCTATTAAAGGTTTCATAACCTTTTGGTTAATCTATAGAATTTTTAGCTACAAATATATCCATTCATTAAGTTTCGACTCTTAGTTTCGCTTGACAAGATCAGCTTCTTCACAGCTTAAGTGTACTCACGCTTGCAGAGAGGTATGGTTCTTGGTCCTTCTAGAAACCTTGAAGCAAAACAATTCGCTTAATAATAGAAATGATGGACTAGTAACGCTTAGAATAATCTCCGTTAGTACCTTCAGGATTAAAGTTATCGTAGTGCTTTTTTTTAAAAGATTCAACAGAGAGTATCGTCACTATAGTTCACGGTAGATAATTTCATGACTAACTGATGATTTCTTTGTACTTGATTGTCCGCATATAAACGATTCCAAATACAGTATGTTCACTAGTGTTAATCTAATCTTACCTGCCTTAAAATGCACGATTTCAAGAATTCCTAATGGGTTAATTCATCCGAATACTTGTAATTATCATATTGGCTTTGCGATGAGGTCGAATCTTGGACAGTTGAATACTAATTCAAGCGGGGATGACTTTATACATTATATGGAGCGGCTCGAATCATACTGTATTACCATAAAATATAGTAAAGATAGTAAATTTGCAGCTTACTTACTGACATTCATCGGAAAAAACTTACAACCTGCTAAAGGATCAGGCTCTTCTAGAGCAAACAATTTCATTGTCGTACGAACACCCTATATTAACTACCGTGCAGTGACTGAACCTGATTTTCGGTCAGTGAAAATTTCGAATGCTTTGCTCAGTCATCGTGATGAATTACACTCTCAATGTCGCTCAAGCCCGTGTTTGGTTTATAATGGTTCCAAACCTATTGAAAGTACAAAAAGTGATTCAGCAAAGAATCGCAAAGTAGATTACGGAGGTGAGCACAGTTTTGGTGGATAATTGTCCACTTATTCATTTGTCTTTCATCATGCTAAGTTGTCTAGGTGTGATAAGTGGGTAACATTGAGTAGTTTAGTAAAACTACTGCTCGTTTCTTTAAAATTAATACTAATCTCTGTAATTTAGATCCGATTTACTTGGTTGACTTGACTGAGCACTTATTACGAATTCCAAATATAATACGTTCATTAGTGCTAATTCAGTCCTACCTGCCCTGAAACGAACTATCTTGGGGATTCTTGGTTAGCTCATTAATTAGAATGTTTCTAGTTACATAAAACTCTTTTGTTTTCCACCTCTGTTAGATGTCCTCTTGAGTACAGTATATTACCGAGGTATTACTCGTGGAGTAGATTACGGAGAATATTTTGATTATTTGTTTCTGTCACGTAATTCTGAGAAAGATGACACTTTAGCTCGCTCAATAACTTCTATGCTACAAAAGCAACACTTTGTTAAAAGAACCTTGGAAATCTTGGCAAACTTCTTTACTTTCAATAGACATACTAGAAAGACAACTAAAAGATAATTTCTATGTGACATAATCCGAAACACCTGGATGAGCACAGTTCAAAATATTAATTCATACCTCAAGGCAGATAATGAGTGACTATTATTGAAACCATGAACCTGTCTAGGTTAGACCATCATTGGAAACCTGGAAGTACTGGATGGTTGTTCCGTCCTGGTTTGGAGTTCGTCAGCAGTGCACACCCATGGTCCTACACCCACGATTCGAACCAAGAGCCTTCTGTCTCGTGCGAACGCCTAAATTCTAAACTACATTCAACAGGATTCTCATGCCAGGACGAGACAGCCATTTGGTGCTTCCTGGTTTGTGGTGGTAATATAACGTGGATCGGTTCATGATTTCTTCGAAATCCAACAATCTCCGCAACCACATATCCAGAGAAAGAGATGTTTCATCATATTTTCGGACAACTGCTTCCGAGTTTGGTTCCAACAAATGACCGAATCTCCAATTTCGCAACCGCTTAAATGTTATTCCAGTTGATCCTAAGCGGCGTAATCAACTAATGCAAATTTCTTCCCTCACTTTTCAGTCTGTTAAATATTTTTTCTTTATACATGTTTTTATTACAGATCGCCGTGAAATTGTTGCGACACAACATTTCTTACTGTCTTGTGTAAGGAAACCGCATATTTCTCACAACAAGAACCATCACAACTCATTTAGATAGATGAATAATTGAAAAGTCACTTCATATCGGTTTCGCCATGGACTTTGTCATAAGTTTGGAAGTGTTGGATATATTTAGTAGCTCTTAATCTCACTCCAAGTGGATCGTTTCCGACTGTTTTCGAAACTCATTCCGCCAATCGTGCTATAGAATAACCGACCTAAATCGTGCTACTGAATAACAGAATTAAATAAGTCAAGTACAGGAATGAAGTTTGAATATGTATATTTCGTATGATCGTTGATCGGAAAGCGAAGAAAAACGAAGTGATGCTCAATGAAGAAGGCGAAGGAGCCTACTTAGTCTAGCCAAGCGTAGGTCGATATTTATAGTCGAACAAAAATAAGTTACAGATATGTGATGAATAAAAAAATGCACACATATACGATTACATAAAAATAGACAAGGTCGATAAGCGAATAATTAACAAGGTCAAAATATGCCTTGAAAAGAATGACTAGATTGATCTGTCCAGATGCTGGAATAACCTGTGTGGGTTTGACCCAGTACCAGCCCCTAAATGTATACTGGATTTTGGTAAAGGTTCCAAGCTCAAGTAGAGAATAATTCATTTGCTATTTAACCTCTAACTTCCTTGCAGATCATTGTAAGTTAGCACTCTTCGCTTTAATACTTAGATGCAGCTTCTTTTATCCTTAAACTGGAACGAAAACTGTTATGCGGTGCTCAACACACTTATTGATGTATTATTTCTGAAGATTTAGTGAACATCGACACAGCCTAGGAGAAGAAACTTTAAAAAGTCTAGTTGTTATTTTTAATGGGTGACATTATATGTGAAGTTCTGACTTTTATTGTGATCGTACAGACTTTTGAGAGGAAGGCCATTCAAAATTCACTGAAACACCACATATATGACTTTCACAACATTATTTACCGGAAGAAGTCTCATTTCTTTGTGCAGCCGGAAGAAACATTGATTTACAATACTGTTACTTGCACACCGGTTTAAACATGATTCTTGAATGCTGGTGAGAGTTTGTTAACTCATTTGGTCAAGCATAAAGTTGTGAAAGATCACCTCCTTCGAACAGGTTCAGTCAAAATTCGGAGCAGAGATAACTTGCTGCTGACAAAGTAACTGTGAAACACCGATTTTATAAATGATGTTACTTCCTGAGGGAAAGAACATAGATCAACAGAACTAATGATTTTCCTGCATCTAGGACTGACTTCGGTGATTAGTTACCTACTCTTCATTTGTTACTCTGATGATGCATAAAGATGACTTCCCTGGACGATCGATGGAAAAGTCAAGATCAGTCCGGCCAGTAACAGAATGCTAAGTGGATGGAAAATCTCTCGGTAAACTCTTGTCAACTTCGTGTGGTGATTCAGGTTACTTTTAGGTAAGGAATCAGGTTCGCTCGTCAGAGGTCTTAAAGTTTCTGTAACTATTTCCGAAGAGTCTGTGATTATAAGAGGTGGCATTGTTTGGGCAAACAAGGCAAGTTGTTCCGTGCTTTCTTAAAAGCTAGACTAAATTTCCCAGAAATTCATTTCCGTCAACTCATATCATGAGTTTACTTGTTCACTGATGGGCTGCCTCATATTACATGAGTATTGTAGTTTGGTATGAAGAAATTTGTGATCGAAGAAAGGATATATATATCTACATGGTCAACAACCTATTGACGAGGGCTTTTCAAATTAAACTGCGGCCCACGAAGGCCTCATTTCGGCAAGCAAGTCTGTTATTTGTAGTATTAAATGTGGTTGTCTTATGCCGCCATGGACTATTTCAACCCCTCTTGGTGATTGCTAATATCGCTGAAAAATTTCCATCATATTAAAACACAATTATATGAACGAAGAATATTCTTTTCAATAATTTCTCATCAGGTTCTACAATTATAAATTAATAATCCATAAAAGAAGATTGGCCAGAGTACATCAATTTAAGAAACTGCAATATGTGAATCAAGGATTGTTTGTCATATAAAATAAAATAAGATCGAATCGTCAATGTTGGAGCTGACTAATATGAAGTGTTAGCTTGAATCAGTTTATAGATTGCTAATATGAGAGCCGGGCTAAAGTTAAGCACTTCATAATCCGCTAACTAGATATTGCGTCTTTCGGCTTGTGTAATGTTCCACATTAGCTTACGCGATATCTTTCCTTCTTCTCCAGCTAGTTGAGACACTTATATTGTCGCTGGAGGTAGGGGACATGAGGCTCAGAATTTCGGCAGTGTTTGGAGGAAGAAAGGATGGTGGTAGTCATAACAGATTTATCAGTTTTGTGTATGCGACCGTCGGCCGGCTTTGTGTGGTTATAAGTGCAGATAATACTTAGGGATCCTCATTGACTAGGCTTTTAAGATATGCGACTTCGTTTCAACTGACACTAGTAAATCCTACTAAAAATTGATGATTATCTTTTTGAGCAGATTCAGTTTCAGTTTGGACAAGACAGAAGGCCGGATGATCTATATGAATCGAGGCGATGATTGTCTCGCAGTCGCTCCAAACTCCATCTGGAAGCGTAGACAGATGGGGCTTCAATCACATGTTGAAGTAGTGAATTCCATTTGTTGATTACTCGATGGGAAAGTCGATAGTCAGTTGAGAAGTAATTTGTTCTTGGCTTGTAAACATTTTCAGAGTGTCCTCCCAAATTCTCTGTTTTTAAAGACAGGAAAAGTGTGGTCATATAAGATGTAAATTTACCACTGAGTAATTTAGAGCGGTGATCAAGTCACATCTGACTCTTCTTTGTGACAACGGAAATAAGTTTGGTTAAGCCAGCCGAGCATCATACAGAAGCTTTGCTATTCCAAGAATCAATTTAGTTGCGGTTTTCTGAACATTTTCTAACAGTCGATTGTCTTGTTTTGGACAGAAGCTAGCCGCTTGTATGCAGTACTCCAGTTAAGGATGCACGAGTATTATATACAAGGTCAAAAAGTTTTATCATCGGCATGGCTAAGGGCTCTACGCAGTAAATATAGAGTTATGAACCTTTTGTTAGCCTTAGCACGGCAGTGCACATTATTTGTTAATTCTTGTCATTGTGTATCTGAATAACAGGTGGCTCGACGCCGTTCACAATTTATATATTTGTACCTCGGTGAACAATATGCATAATAATGTACTTGGGAGCACTTATCGGTAGTTGCCGAATTCGAGACCATTCAGATAATTTCTGTAGGTCATTTTGAAGCTCTAAACTATCACCTTTTTCCTTTATCGCTCCCCACATGTTGACGTTATCAGAATTAACAAAGTCGATGAAAATATGGGACCAGGAAGGTCATTCCCATATAGGAGGAAGGACATCGGCCCCCCAAACCGTACCTTGAGGCACTCCGCTAAGCATAGTTTCCCAGCTAGGCATCTTTGATTTCACCCGCACTCTTTGTTGATGCCCAACTGGGATGTCCTTTGATTAATGGCCTGCAATCCTGATATTTCTTAACTTATATAACATCCAGTTGTGGGAAACTTTGTCAAAGGCTTCGCTGAAATCAATGTAGACTACGTCTATAGATATCTTTTCATCTTCAGAGCGTACCAACTTTCACGGGCCACTAACATGCTAGTGAGACGTGAAAAACAGGCGACACTATAAGTTATGGACGAACCAATCAAACTTAGAATAATAGGTTTCAGATTTTGGAGAGAAATTCGTTCATCTATTTGGTTAAATAGAAATTCTGCATTATATCCGATATCTGTTCGTGATGAAAAGTCTCAATCTAATGATTGACCTTAATCATCAACTGTAAAACATAACTCTAATTCCTCACGCGGGTTTAAAACCCTCATTTAGGTGGATACTCTCAAGGTAACTCCGGCGCCGCTCAAAAGTTGTCCATAAATTATAGTCTCGCTGAAAAACCAGTCCTAAAAACATGTTGTTCCGTGGAACGAACCCGATTTTCATCGGGATACGGGTCAATAGTTCTCCGGTTTGTGTCCCACACCCGTTTTGAAGACAATACTTACTGTGGCATTCTTCCAGTCTTTTGGTAACCAACCCTGCAGTACAGATAGATTAAGAATTATCCCTAAGAGATTGGAGACAAATTTCGTTAATTCATTCAGTAATCGAAGATGTATTTTTTCTCTTCTCATAGATTGCCTATATCAATCTTATATAGGAGACCAAAGACGTCGAGTTCTTTAATGTTCACGGTGTCCAGTGTACGTGTGTGGAAAAGGTTTGCATTAACCAATGGAGAGGGCACTTATACGGTGTATAGATTGCTAACGTAGTTTGCGATTACCTGAGCTTTACCATGGCCATCCTCCGCTGATGATGCGATACTACTGTCACCTCATAATGCTCGAATATTTCCTGTTCTTTTAGTCCTTCGGCTAATGTATAAATATAAGCGTTTAGGGTATTCTACAGACTCCCCAAGAAGTTCGTCTTCGTACAGCCTTCAAGACTAGCAGAGGTTAAAGACCATTTCAAGTTTACTGACAGTTTGATACTTGCCTTTCAGACGTTTGGTGTGGCTTGGGTTAACACATGTTCGCTATTGATAACCATATGAAAATCAAAGACTAGAGATGCATGACCACCTTTACTTAGGGGTGGCATATAATTAAGCTTTCCGGCGTCATTTTCATAATAGTTCAATATGTGATCTAGTAAAGATGACTCGAAGACTGGGGCGTACCTCATTGCTTATTTCACATGTTGCACTAGTGCACATGTGACACCCGCAACAACAAGTTTCTTATCGAAAGAATTTTCCGGCAGTTCAGTCCTCAGATTTTTCCGACCCATCGTCTGTGCATTAAAGTCCCCTAATAATAAACATCGACCACTTGATGACCAAGAGTTGAAACCATCTATCAAGAACTCATTCACCCCACAGTTTGGACTGCGGTAAACTAAACCAATTAGCAAACCTTGTCTTTTTTGTTTCAAGTGGCAACTAACTGATTCACTTTGATTCGATATGTTATCAATAACGATGAACGAGATAGAGTTATTACTCCGTTAGGTTATTGGATTCCGTTGGCTAATACGAATGTGAAACTTTCAAAATCAAGTTCTGTACTGTCTACAAACTGCATCAACCAGGTCTCCGTTACAATGAATACATCCAGCTTGGTAGAGTCTATTTGTACACCTAACTTCGATCGCTTGTTGAGCAGCCTCCGGGTACTTGTTCAACAGATCCGAAGACAATTTGAATGGCTTCATGCTGCACCCAAAGAGGCTTCGGCGCCACTCGCTGGTTTGATTATGTTTCAAATCTATTTAGCTACCTAGTCTAAAGACCCAGGAGACATTCTAAGACATGGGCTAGTCTAGTAGCTGTTTTATCAACTCAGTGTTATGCCTAAAATGAGTTATCGTTTTAAGTTTTCATTCACCTTGACTCTACAAAAGAAAACTGACTTGTCACTATGATCAGTCTCCAATTTTCCAGCTACCCAATTGATAGATTGGCTTTTCTCTAGAAACTTGAGGTCGTTTCTTGTTCTTTACCTATACCCACTCATCAACTTTCGTTGGAGTCACAATCTAAGTCGTGTAACAGACACTGTGGTATCTTCGACAATTGTCGATGACTTGTGCAGTCAGGTTGTTGTTTGTGCTTTTAAACAGAGACCTAATTATGTGATTAGGTCTTCTTGACGTTTCCTGTGCAGCATCATTTAGAGGGTGGGAGGTAGAAGAAACTTCTTTTCTCGGGCTTTTATTCCTAACAGAACTCTCTATAGGCTGCACTTCGTCATGCAAGACAGTAAGCCCTCAGCTTACTTGGGAGACCTCATCAGTTCATCTGTCGATCGAACTGAAATAAATTCAATCAAAGCGAAAACCGTGGTCTTGATGAGCAATAAACGGTCAAAACAACAAAATTAACCCAGCGAGGAAAAATACCACTATCCGGTTTAATTAGCGCGCTTTTACTTGTCTTCTCATTAATCTCTATAACCCTATTCTGAAAAGGAAAAAACATTTATTATAAGGGTTTGTTTAACAACACAGGTCAATAAAAATGAACAATCAAAGTGTAGTGAAAATACCAGCGTCCTTTCTAAATAGCGCATGCGTTTCCTTAATTGTTAGCTGGTGCATTTCGTCGTTATCCTGAAAATTAACTCTGTTAAACGTTCCTGAATTCTCTACAGTTGACTTTCTTAACCCGAATCATTTGATTTATGTCTTCTAGTTTCGAAGACATTAGATGTTGAACGATGTCGCGACCGTGGTTTTCGGCATTTGCGCTACAGTAGTCGGAATAGGTATGGTTTGTAAAACGTTTTTCTACGATATGTGAGTCGCTCTTCAAAATTGTCTTTGCTACGTTAACTCAGTTGTATCCGGGATCTCACCAGGGATATGTACACCGTGGCAAGTACGCTTATATTCAATCGAGTGAATGTTCTTTGTAACCCACGTGGGAACCTTGTGTACACAAGGTTCGCGATCCTTGAACCACAGTTAGATGAGGTTAAACTGTTTTCTTACCGTTATGACTCACAATATTCTCTAGATAATTGCAAGAACACATTAAATGGTACTCACCTTTCCCCTTTATTGTACTTATTTCTATTAGCGTGTTCAATGTGCATATAGACACGTTTGAGTCTATTGATTGCCATAAACACAATTTAGACCTACTTGTCAGTACAACTAGGTTTACCTAAAGTGTACGTACATTGGCACCTATTTCTCAGGTGATTTCGGTATCGTCAGTGCATGGTAGCAACAAGAATTTAACGATGCACGGGAGTTCATCTCCATGAAGTATAGACAGTAAGGAACCCTGAATGGAACTCTACAGTACTTCATGGGCTACTGGACTTTGAGATGAGCATTTAAAATCTATTTTTACTTTCTGACAGTGACCTACCGGAGTCTTTGGTCCCAAGTTTTCTAGCTTCGATAGTAGCCTTTTTATGTATTGCCTTGTCAAATGCTTCACTGAAGTCCATATAGGTGATATCTACTGGTTTTCAATTCTTAAATAACTTCATCCATCTCTTTGTTGCTATCAGGAGGTTTGTTGTACAAAGGAAATCTTCCATAAAACTGCCCTGTGGACTATATAGTTGGTTAAGTGGTTGGGATTTTTTGCATTATTTTGGTGTCACATTCAAGATTTTTCCATCTAAGTCAATATACGGATTGGGGTATATACTTTTTAAAATTTCACAGTAAAAAATACGGTTTGTAAAATTTAATATTGTTAGATTATGGGAAAATATCGGTGTATGGTCAGTCAGTCAGTCAGCGACAACGTAGGACCAGACACATATATGCATCGGTCCAAGTTGCCATACCTCGTTAGCACAACAAGAACAACACCGGATTCATAGTAGTTAATTTAGTGGTGGTGGTAGTATATAAATTATAGGTTGTATATAAGGATATAGCATAGGAAGGAAGAAAGCTATGAAGCAATTTTAATATTATAGTTTAAAGGAAGACAGGGAGTGTATACACCTACGCCGTTTTGATCGATTCTGAGCCATGTCACCTAGAGTCTCCAATCATTGGTTACGATAGTCACGTGGACCACAACCAAGTAGTCTGCATCTGCTAACATGGCTCAGACTAGAAGTTAGTGACTTCAAGCTCTGATGCCACGTTTTGGTTTGGCCGCCCCTAACTCTCTTCCAACCATCCCCAACACTAGTCAGCATAGCGCGTCGTGGTAGTCGGTGTTCAGGCATACGTAACACGTGGCCCAACCATCTCAGTCGATGAAGATTCATCACCTCATCAATTGATTTACCATCATTCCCTAATACCCTGCGTCTAACCTCACTATCACTTACCCGATGATCCCAGCAGATGCGAGCAATATTCCTAAGGCATCTGTGGTCAAATACTAGTAACCTACGAGTATCTTCTACTCTTAATGGCCATGTTTCACAACCGTAAAGTAGAACAGAGCGAACTGCTGCGCAGTATACTCGTCCCTTAATTGATAGACGGATATTTCGTCTTCGCCATAGGTGACGTAAATTGGCAAAAGCCAAACGAGCTTTTTGAATCCGTGCAGAGATTTCGTCAGACACCAACCCATTAGGACTGATCAGACTTCCAAGATAAGTGAAGTTGTCCACGCGTTCGACTACTTCACTCCCTATCCTTAGTTCGGGTGTTGACGCAGGCCAGTCCTGGAGTAACAATTTACATTTGGATGGGGAGAAACGCATCCCAAACATCCTGGCATTATTACTCAGTTCCAACAGAAGACTCTGGATTTTGTCAGCGTCTTCACCAAACAGGACTGTCATCTGCGTATTCTAAGTCGCTTAGTGGTCCCCCTGGTAGGAGATCAATTCCTGAAAATTCAGTCGCAGAGAGTGTTATTTCCAGCAACATGTCTATAATGAAGTTAAACAAAAATGGGGATAGTGAACAACCTTGACGGCACCACTTGAGGTTGTAAAATCATATGACAATTTGCCACAAGCTCTCACTCGACTGGTAGTGTTCGAGTAAAGAGCCTTCACAAGGTTCATGTACTTCTCAGATACACCTTTTAATGATTGTGTATGGTAGTAATTTAGCGAGATCCAGTTTCTTTCTCAACGCACTAAAAACGTGTTTGACTGAGAGTTTTTGTAGGTTATTATTATTATTATTTAAAAATATAAACATAGGTACAAAAAGGCACCAAACAGATGTGCGTCACATAAATCATTCGATTTGTACGAATGAATCACATAAAGCTAGATCGCTCCCTTAAGAATAGTGGCCGAATCAAATGTTTCAAGGACTGACTCAAATTTACAACTTATTTCGCCCTTGAATTCCCGAGGGTGGGGAGAGTAGGCTCTCCCTATCGAAATGCTCTCACATGGTCACGCGTATACAACCACTTCCCCGGAGGTCCTGCTCACTGCCTTTTCGCGGCAGGAGTTTTTACGAAATTGAGAGGATGAAAAGCGAATGTCCAGTGCCTTAAACAGGTTAATAGATACGGATGTTCCACCTAGGGGATTTGGAAAACCCTGATTCCAAAGCAATAGTGCACATGGGCTCCAGGATTCCTAAGGAGCAAATGGCTTATGAACCAATTGATGGTCACCGACTACCATGGGACTACATTTCCTGACGTTGCTCCACTAAGCGCTAGGGCTGAGGCAGCACTAATCGATTGAATCCCCATTAACAGTCGGTTATGTGTTGTTAGATTAGAAAGTTCCATTAAAGTGAGAAGAAACCGGCGTGAGAAACGGTGTCTTTTCGTCATCTCCGCCTATGCCCCGACAGATTGCAGCCCGGATGCAATCAAGGATGAGTTTTACCACCAGTTAACAGTTCTTCTCCAAAAAGCGCGTTCGACAGATACTGTAGTATTAGCCGGAGACTTGAATGCTGAGGTCAGGCGTCTAGGCACAGAAGAGTCGTTTAGGTTGCCGATGGGGACTTGTTGGTCGCAGGACAGATAACGGGGACCGTTCGCTGCGACTGTGCACAGACCACATCCTGTTTCTGGCCAGCACTAACTTCCGGCACAGTCATCGCCGGTGTGCCACCTGGCGTCCTTTCTCTGCATCTCAAGCCTGGACTCAGATTGATCACATCGCGATCAGCTACCGCTGGCATGGTTATGTACAAGACTGCCGCTCCTTTTGGAGTACCTATCTGGAGTCTGATCATGCCCTGGTCTGCGCCAATCTCACCTTACTTTTCAGTGGCCGAAGGATTGACCACCACCAACGGATCGATGTTAGTAAACTGGCTGCAACTTCTGTTGCAAGAAAGTATCGAGCGGAACTAGCTTCTAGGCTAGCTACCATCCCACTGAAAAGTATAGATGAGCATTGTTTGCATCTTCATGACGCCATGAAAATGGCGAGTAAGGCCGTTTGCGGCTTCGCGAAACGTCCCGCTTACAAGCACTGGGTTTCTTCTGGCTCCTTACAACTGATGGAAGCCCGTCGGTCTACTCCGGGTGACCGTGAGTTTGACCACAAACAAAGGCTGTTACGTAATGAAATCGGGCAAAGCTTGCGTAAGGACCGAGAAGCCTGGTGGTCAGAGCGTGCTAATGAGATGGAAGAAGCAGCTGCATCTGGTAACTGCCGGAAGCTCTTCCAACTCATCCGAGCCACTGGCAGCAAGAAGTCTGATGTGAGTGAAACAATCTACGTTGATGAAGGGATGCCAATCACTAACATCTCTCGACGTCTTGGACGATGGGCGGAATTTTTCGAAGGGCAGTTCAACTGGCCTGCTGCTCCGGCAACATCAATCAGTTTGTCCTGCCCCCCATGGCTGGTGACGACTGATCCACCAAACGAGGCGGAAGTCCGCAAGGAACTCCAACTCTTGAAACGTTAAAAATCACCTGGCCCAGATGACTTACCTCCGGCTCTTTTTAAAGATGGTAGTGACTTTCTGGCTAAGGAACTGACGGTGTTGTTTGGAAAGGTTTGGGAGCAAAAAAGTGTCCCAACATCATGGAATGAGTCGATAGTCGTCCCTATCTTTAAAAAGGGTTCACGTTGTTCCTGTAACAACTATCGGGGGATAAGTCTGCTTCCGATTGCGTCCAAACTATTGGCTTCTGTCATTCTTCGTAGGTTGTTTAAAACCCGAGAACGATTGACTCGCGAGGAGCAGGCTGGTTTTCGTTCTGGTCGAGGATGCATTGATCACATCTTCACCCTCCGCCAAATGTTAGAACACCGTCATACTTATCGCAGGCCAACAATCGTAGTGTTTCTTGATATCAGGGCTGCCTTCGAATCGTTGGACAGGACTGTTCTCTGGGATTGTCTATTGAAGAAGGGTGTGCCTGAGAAGTTCATTAACATCTTAAAGGCCCTGTATGCGAACACCTAAGGCAGAGTGAGGGCATACAACCACCTTTCTCCCTTGTTCCATTCGAGCAGTGGGGTTAGGCAGGGTTGCCCGATCTCACCATTCCTCTTCAACTTTGCCATCGACGACATCCTGTAAACAGCTCTGATGTATGTAAGTAATGGCGGTGTGGATATGTTGCCTGGTGAACGACTTCTCGGCCTCGAGTATGCGGATGATATTGGCTTACTGTGCGATAATTCTCAAGGCATGCAATCCGCACTTAATCAGTTGGCAATCAGTGTCCGCAGGTACGGCATGTGCTTTGCACCCTCCAAGTGCAAAGTACTCCTACAAGACTGGCAGGATTCTCATCCTGTACTCACCCTGGATGGTGAGCAGAGTGAAGTAGTTGAGAAGTTCGTGTATCTAGGTAGCTATATAAGTGCTGGTGGTGGCGTGAGTGATGAGATTGATGCACGTATAATGGAAACCAGAGCGGCTTATGC